ATAATAATAATAACCTTCCTGGACACCCAAGGACAATTTACAAAATTAAAGACAAAATTAAACAATACAAAATTGCAGTGAAAACTCTCAAACTACAAACTAAATGACTAAGAAAAAAAGTGTAAGAACTTGAACAGATGAGTTTTAAGTTGTCATTTGAATGTTGGAAGAGTCAATATTATGGATTTGTCTATGAAAAAAAGATTACTATTATACTTTAGATAGGCTGGCTTTAGTATCATTGAGTAGAAACGGTTTTATCTCTGTTCAATTTAAGGAAGTTTGATGTGATCCAGGATTTTATTTCAACTAAGCAGGAAGTGAGGGAGGAAGGTGGACGTGAAGAATTTGGTGAGGTGGATAAGAAGAGCTTGTCGTCATCCGCAAAGCAATGGAAGTTTGAATTTACAGAAGCCAAAGGAAAGAAGGTAGATGATGAGAAGAAGGGGTCCCAGGACAGAACCTTGTGGCACACCTGAAGCAACTCAGCTGGGTTTACGTGGAGCTCGAAACTACCTCCTGAGACCCTGCGTCCTCATATGCGGACATTGCAATTTTGTTTTTACCCATGATGCATCATTTCTTTCCAACTTTAACCCACTGGCCTCTTTAATAGACACTACCAGCACCCTCTAGTGGTCCCATGGCTTTATTACACTCATTTGAGTGAAAAAAAGATGGCTTATCCCAGTAAAAAGCTTTTACAACAACTCTGGTCAGAAAAATGGCCAAATTAAAAATCCAAGTTACATTTCACGCTTAAAACCAGCATAGTTATGCACAGTTACATTTTTAGCTTCATAAGACATGCAAACATAACATTTTTTTTTACAAATGAAGTAAAGTAAGATAAAGTCTTATTTGAGGACATTGGGACTATAATTTTGTTATTAATTGGGCCACGAGTTTGGATAAACCTGCAAATATATAGAAGAGTTTACAAATGTAAATAGTGTAAGTGGTATATTTGGTCACAATTTTTGTTAAACAAATCTGGAAATATTTACAACAGTTCACAAACGTAAATAGTTCTTGCAAATGATACATTTGTTCAACCAATTAATGCTCTGCAATTTCCTGCCATTATGTCATGTAATACTTTCTTCAAGCTGAAGAGCAATCTGAAAGTTGTCGATGATGATGGTGATGATGATGATGATGATGATGATGATGATGATCTTTACTAATCTTGCTCTGGTCACAGGCTGGATGCTGTGTTGCCAAAATAACTAGGAAAATGGAACCACCAGAAAGGCTATCATGAAGTTTCTCAAGTTCTGATTGGTAACTGCTCAGGTATTCCTCAACAAGCGTGACATTTTGTGACCCAGTGTCCTCATATGAGGACATCATTTTTTTTTGCAAAAAAAACAAAACAAAACAACAACAACACTTCCTGTAATGAATTAATCCCTACTAATCCCATGTATTTTAGAGAAAGAAAAAATGCACACCCAGAAAAAAACTTGGGAGAATATTATATGTGTGACGGATATTTGCCTCGTATTATTTTAAAAACCACATTGAATTAACTCAGTTTAGTGATTCTCTTTCTGCATAACATATTTTTAAAAAACTTAATCATTAATATGCCCTCAAGAATAAATCTGACTGTTGTGCAATCTTGTGACCAGGTGGCCGTTTGTCATCACTTCATCACATTATTGAGTCGCAGAATCGTCTGACTTTTCTGTTTCAGCTGGGAAATCAGATGCTCCTAATCAAAACCAGGAGCAAACTGTGAGTGCCGGGACTTTCAGTCTGAAACAGTTTAGACTCTAATTAGATCGTTTACGCCTGTGTGCTTAATGATGAACTTCCTGCAGTAGAACTGGGTCATCAAACAACTTCCTGTCATTAGAGTCGTATGTGTAGTTACTTCCTGTTTGTCTCTAGATGTGAAGTTGTTGTCGGGTTGATTGTTGAGGTAGAACTGATCCAGAGTCAGTTGGTGAAGATCACTCTTTGTTCATTAATAATAATACATTTTATTTGTGTAGTGGTTTTCTAAAAACTGAGACACTTTAGCGGAATCAAACAAAATCAGAAAAGTACTTAAGTACATATAAAATCAATGGTTTGTAAAACTCTTCTTCACTCCTCTAACAGTGATGATGATGTGAAAACATATGTTTTGCTAAAGCTTCAAATCATTCATTTTATATAGGTTTTGCTTCCGAACAATTTGTGTAACACTGGGTTTCAATCACAAACAACACAAACACTACACAAATACTGCAAACTACACAAACAGTATACAAACACTGCACAAAATACACAACAGCTAATGTATTTTTAGCATTAGGTAATCAGTGTGTGTGTGTGGGGGGGGGGTGGGTTTGGCATACACACCTACTTGTTGGATCTTAGCCTAGTCCCCATGGGGGGAACTGCTGTTGTTGGGTTGGGGGTTATTATTTGAGTTTAGGTTAGATTTAGGGTCAGGTGAGGCTAATTTTAGGGTAAATCGTCAGGATTAGGCCATAGAAATTAATGGAAGTCATTGCAACGTCCCCATGAAGACAGAAGTACTAGACCGTGTAGTGCTAGACTGTGCACACGTGTGTGTTTGTGTGTCTGACTGCAGTCTTTGTTGATGAATAGTGAAAAACATCAGTGTGCAACACACAGGCGCTTCATTCACATCTGTACAGTTGTTTATGTTCCCCCTCCCCCACTCTCTCCCCCTCTCCTTCCTGTCTAGTGTCACTTCCTGTTTGGGCCGGTTCTCAGCCAGAGGTTTTTTAGCTCCATATAGCAGCCGGGCCGAAGCATCAGAACTGTCAGAAACAAGTCCTGGTATCCAGGTTTAAATGTTTACTGTAAAAACAATCATTCTCTGTTTATTTGTTATGTTTTGTGTTCTCTCTCTCCCAAATTGTATCTTTGTGGCATGCCTTCAGATTTATGATTTTTTTAAATTTTATATTTGAAAGAACGTCATCCAAGAGTGATGATTCAATAATTGTTGACAAGAGTTGCATCTTTGATCATGAAACAGCTTAGAATCCTCCAGAAGGAACTAACAAGTGTCTTTGAGGAGAGGAAGGTCCTGTTAGCCCTGACTACAGATAAAAGGAAGAGGATGGATGGATGGATGGATGAATGGATGAGTCATTGATTGTATGGACGGATGGATGGATGGATCATTGGATGGATGGATGGATGGTTGAATCATTGGATGGATGGATAGATGGATGGATCAGTGGATGGATGGATGGATGGATGGATGGATGGATGGATGGATGGTTGAATCATTGGATGGATGGATGGATGGATGGATGGATGGATGGAAGGATGGATGGATGGATGGATGGATGGATGAATGGATGGATCATTGGATGGATGGACGGATGGATGGATCATTGGATGGATGGATGAGTCAGTCATTGGATGGATGGTTGGATGGATGGATGGAAGAATGGATGGATGGATGGTTGTTGGATGGATGGATGATGGATGGATGGATGATGGATAATGGATGGATGGAAGAATGGATGGATGGATGGAAGATGGATGGACGGATGGATGGATGGATCGTTGGATGAATGGATGGATCATTGGATGGATGGACGGATGGATGGATCATTGGATGGATGGATGAGTCAGTCATTGGATGGATGGTTGGATGGATTGATGGGTGATGGATAATGGATGGATGGATGGTTGTTGGATGGATGGATGATGGATGATGTATGGATGTTTAACAGAACAGTAAAATCAAACTGAACCAAACCTAGGTCGTATTCAGACCTGATCATTTGCTCCGCTTTAAACGAACCAGAGTTCGTTTCCAGTGTTGGTCCGGACCTTTTGTGCAGGTGTGAATACACTCATGCGAACTCTGGTGCGGATCCAACAACCGGACCGAGACCTGCTTTTTGAGGTGGTCTCGGTC